TATATATATATATATATATATATATATATATATATATAAGTTAAATATTGAATATATAAAACACTATGGGTGCAACAGATTTGGTATGATAAATGCCTGTATATAATTCCAGAAGAATATTCTTTGATTCGCTTTGTATAAAACATGCTTTGCACTTACATTGTTAGAAATTCTCTGCAGCATCTGTCAGAACACAAATCCAGGACTTGAAGCACCACTGGAGCATCTTCCAGAAATCTCAAGTACTCGACACAAAATTACTACTTTAGAACCACTACATAACTTTAGTCTTTTACAAGTCTATTTGACCTGTTGCAATTGTCCGAGTAAAATCTTTACACAATACACGACACAAAACTTATATTAGAGACTTTCGTGAATTTAGAATTCGATAAAAACAGATATGTGGTGAAAGTACCTAAGTATAACCTACAAAAGCACATATAAATTATACTATTGATAATTGCATGTATATAATTAAAGGATACATTGGCGCTGTAAATGAATTAATAACAAAAGCACATATATAAATTATACTATTGATAATTGCATGTATATAATTAAAGGATACATTGGCGCTGTGAATGAATTGTTTATTTATAAAATTGATTCAAAATGGAGACCCTGAAAAAGATACTTATCAAACTATTCAAAGTTTACCTAGGCACCTTCACAACACACCCAACTTTTTACTTTTTATGAACATTTCGCGATGAATTTCCTATATCATTATTATCTACTAAATTAATTAAACGAGTTGATGTACAAATTAACAGAATCCAATCAAAGATTTAATTAAAAAGTCTTAATTAACGCACATGTTAATTCACGAAACTTTCTTTGACAATCGAAGCAATTAAAGTTAGCAACATGTGTAACCAAATTAACAGGTGAAAACCTTCCTTGGTTTCAAACCTTCAAACGTCAAAATCGTAGGTTAAGTTAACATAATATATAAATATAAGTTTTCCCATTTACATTGTATTTGTTTAAATTAATTTACTTGGTATATCATTATTCTTTTCAATTTACATACATTTTCTTTTTTTTATTCAAATATAAACTACAATAATAACATAATGGCACAAATAATTGAAGAAAATATTTCTGTAAATAAATTTAAAACCAAAAAAGAATATCAAGCGCACATAACATCCTTGAAAAAACAAGCAAAAAATAATAAAAAAAATAAAAAAGATATTCTACTTGAAATTGCTAAATTAGAAGAACAATTTAGTGATTTTTTTTGTGACGAGAAAGCTAGCTCTTCAGAAAATGAGGTGGCTGATATGCCTCAGACCCAAGTTCAAAATCAGAAAATATCAAGAGCACAGAAGCGTCGAGATAAAAAATCTTTGGGTGAGAAGGAACGCCTGCAAAGAATTGAAGACCAAGAAGAGTTAAACAAGCATGGTGCTAGACATAAAGAACTCGAAGCTCTAAAATCAATATTAAAATCTCGAAATTTAAGCATTTATGAGGTTCCTTCTGATGGTGATTGTTTATATAAAGCTGTAGAGCATCAATTGAAACTCCATAATAAGCCTCCCATTTCTACAAGCGAGTTACGAAAACTTACCAGTGATTATATAAGACGTAACATGACTGAATTTTTGCCATTTATGACTAATGCAGAAGGTGAATCTCTCAATGAAACAGAGTTCGAAGATTATTGTTCAAAAATTGAAAATACTAATACTTGGGGTGGTCAAATTGAACTTAAAGCACTTTCAAACATTTTAAAAACTTCTATCGAAATCCTACAAGCCGATGGTCCTCCAACAATTCAAGGAGAAGAATTTAATACAGAACCACTTATTTTAACATATCACCGCTATATACTAGAACTTGGAGAACATTATAATTCTACTCAAGCGACCTGTGATTCTGCTTCAGAAACTAGTGAATAACAATCCTGAAAACTGCATAATGTGACTTCAAATACTATTCATCTATCAACAAAAGGAGTACTAATATGACTGCATATGTGTTCAATTTTATAAAACCTTATTATATAGGTTGAAGCAATTTTGTTACTGTAAACAAACTGTACAACAAGCAAAAAAACATGTTTTTAATAAATAGTTCACAATCATAATAAATATTTGAACAAAGTTAATTATTTGGTGTATGTTTATTTCTCAATCTGCTCAGCTTCTTCAGAAACTTCTTTGTTCTTATTTGGATCATCAGGTTTCATGCAGGGAATAATAAAACTTCCTGTAAGAATTAAATTATTATATGAATAATTAAATAGCTAAATGAAGCTTTTGTAAATATATTTATATTGTAATTCTTGAGTTTTCATACCTTTATGTTATTGGAATCAGTCAAAAACATTGTTAACCGATCAATTCCCATACCCCAGCCTCCAGTAGGTGGTAAACCATATTCTAATGCAGTGCAGAAGTTTTCATCAACAAGTTGTGCTTCATCATCACCAGCGGCCTAACAAACAAAATTCGCAATATTAATATATTTCCATTATATTAATTGATATTACAAAGATCATACCTTGTCACTTGCTTGCTGTTCAAAACGCTCTCTTTGAACCATTGGATCATTCAATTCAGTATAAGCATTACAAATCTCTTTTTTCATCACAAACAATTCAAAACGTTCTGTGAGTCCTACATCATTTCTGTGGTATTTAGCCAAAGGACTCATAATTTGAGGGTGGTCGCAAATGAATGATGGGTTTATACACTTTTCTTCCAAAAATTCTCCTACTAACTTATCTAAGAGTCTAGCAGTGGTTCTTGGTGCAGGGCATTCTACCTCATGTTTAATGCACAGATCACTTAAAAATTTATTTGTTTCGGGAGTATTCAATGTGTTTGATGCTGGAAATTTAACTTTCAACTCTTCTTCCAAGGCAGGAATCATAGAAATTCGTTTGAAAGGAGGTGTGAAATCAATTTCTACACTCTCACCATCTGGCCCATCAGGATGATACTGAATTTTATAAGTGCCATGAATTTTCTTCACCATGCCAGAAACTAGTTTTTCAGTCATATCCATCACATCATGATAATCCGCATAGGCCATATAGAATTCACAGGTTGTAAATTCTGGATTGTGAGTCATATCAATACCCTCATTTCTAAATTGTCTACCAATTTCATAAACTCTATCCAAACCACCAACAACCAACATTTGTGATATAACTCAGGCGCAATGCGCATAAATAAATCCATATTTAAGTCATTGTGATGGGTGACAAATGGTTTGGCAGTAGCTCCACCAGCAATCATGTTCATCATAGGAGTTTCAATTTCCAAAAAGCCTAAACTGTCTAAGAATTGTCTAACATATGCAATGATTTTAGCACGCACATGGAACGTTTGGCGTACTTTATCATTCAATATAAGATCTAAATACCGTTGTCTAAATCGTGTTTCTTTATCTTTCAATCCAAAATGTAAATGAGGAAGCATGTGTAGACATGGGGCAAGGAGTTTTACATTTGTTGGCATTACAGACAGTTCTCCTTTCTTAGTTTTCCCAGGATGTCCAATGCAACCAATAATATCACCACGACGGATTTTCGATGTGTCTTCTGTGAATTTTTCCTCAGAACTATATAATTTTGCATTTGCCATAACTTGAATTTTGACACCTTCTCCCCTCAAATCATAAAATACAAGTTTAGCTCCAGACTCCCCTGATGGCGTGCACTCTTCCGGCAACTGACAAAGTAACATCTTCCAATATTTGCGCATCCTATAAAATTATGATAATATTTTTTTGAAATGTCAAATTAAAACAATTTAAGTAAGAGAGATTCATGCAGCATATTAGAATAAAATAAGAATTCATGTGCAAATATTAACTACTGAATTTTATACAATTAATTGACAAAAATTTAATTAGACATTTAATTAAATAAAAAATATTAATTTCATCACAAGTTTATACCTGAAGATCCTTGTATTTCTCTATAAACTCAGTCAAACCAATGCTAACATGAAATTTATGAGGATAAGGATGCTGATCAGGATCATTTGAATTTTTTAATGCAGTTACTGCAGCAGTTCGGAGTTTAAAATATTCATTTGGGCTAATTTCTTCATCAACTTTTGTTACTTCCTTTTTGGCTTCTTTTACAGGCTTTTCTGGTACAGCTGCTGCCTTTTCAGCTTTTTCTTTTGCCTTTTGCTCTGCTTTCAACCTCCTTTTGAGCTCACTGTGAAATCCCCAGAAATGTTTATATTTAGATTTCTGAATCACAATACATCATAAAAAATTGTATCTATAATAACATGTGTCTATCACTCTTATTACACTTAAAAATAATGATTGGAGAATGGTTTTGTTACAATGAAAGATATACATATATCTTGTTAACCATGGCTGTACCATTTTGTTATAAAAATGACATACAGACCTTTTAGAATACAAACTACTGCATTGTGATAAATTCCGTTTAACAACGAAATTCTGAATCATAACATTTTGTATATATGGTCGTACAGTTCTAGATATTATAAACATTATTTTCCAAATCAAAATATAAATGATATATTATGGAAAACATATGTGGCCACGTGAATATGCCTTTTATAACCTACAAGTTTTGATAATTAATACACCGGCATCTGAACTGCTGTGTACTAGAAATAGTTTTATAATTTTGATATATGGGCTTACTTTTTAGATAGTTTTTCAGTGTTTCCTTCGGTTGCATCAGCCATTATTTGGAAATTAATTAAGAAGTCCAAATGATCCTTAAGACGCCGAGACACTTATTTTTGTGAATAATGTTATAATCAGCGAATATCTCATGAATTGATGTGAAGTGAGTCGCATAACTAGAATGTGCAATTTGTAGTAACGATTGAAATTTAATTTTTTTAATTCAGTTATTTAAATCAATTAGCTTCAAAAGAACTACGAGACATTTTTTAAACTCTTTTTAAAATTGTGAAATGTTTCATAAATCTGTGATAAATAATAATAAACGTTTGATCCTAACCTTAAAACGTCAGAAAAGCAATGCAGCCAATTTGCAAAATTCACCAGCTAAATATTGTATGCAATGCGTAAGGTAAAGTTAACAATAATTTATATCTACTTGGAAAGATATTTAAACTATAACAAAGTTTAATACATTATATATATATATATATATATATATATATATATATGTGTGCATATATATATATATATATATTATATTTGAGAAAGGCAATAGAAACATTTCCAAAATAACTCAAAAATAACTATATATTTATTCAATAACTCAATATTGAATGTAACATAAATAGTATCTGGCAAATATAATCATACAATCATGCATCCATTTATGCGAAAAGCAATGATGCTTCAGAATTAACCTTATAGTAAATTTACTGTTAAATCTTCATTTTGTCTTAACTATTCTCGATTCAAATTCATATATTCCAACTGGTTGACCAATCTTCTCATCGTAATCATTCCATTCTTTATCAGTAAGGTCTACATTGTCAAATGTCCCTCCTTCTTCAATTGAGACTGACCAGCCATCCCGAGGACTAAAATCTACAGGCTCTAATCCTCGGCAATCAAATGTAACAATTTGCTTATACTTCTCTGAGTCAGAGTTCGTATAATCTTTAAAACTATCAGGTATAATGTTCATCCAGTTCTCCCTGCTGCACAATTTACATTTCATATGAAAATTCATTTCTGATTTCTCGTGGGCATGGGAAGTTGTTTCTGAAAGGCATAAATCATGCCATTTGTCAGATGTTTCCCCACAACTAGTACATTTTATTTTCAAAAACCAGGTGTGATCCTGTCCACTTGAAAGCTTTTCTACATTTTCTAAGGATGCTTTAACCTCTAAATTAAATTTTACCATATTGATATAAATTAAAAACTAAAATTAGCTCGAAATTAATCTATTAAATGCTTGTTGGATTCTGATACGAAATGTATTTGTTGCTGTTACAAATGTTAAACTTTGACAGCTAGTATTGGCAATGGTACCAACCATAAAATAAGTTTAGCATGAGCTTAGCTAAGTTCCATCACAGACAAAATGGACTCCATTTTCCTGTCTTTAGTTTTCTAACTTTATTCTAACTGACAAAAATATAACGAAATCTTTATTGTATTATTTATATATATTTTTTCTAAAACTTCAACATTTTTTTAAAAGAAACCGCGCCATATTTAACTTCCCGTAGGGTAAGTACATAGATATCTATGTTCATAGATAAAAAAGTATAAATTTGGGTAAGTTAAAATGAAAATGAAAATTTTTATATATCTATACGTTTCAAAGGTTTCTGAATATTTTGGCATACCTTAAAAACATGAATGTATGTGGTGTGTGCGGATACAAATTTTCGTCGATGATTTCGGGAACACCGATCGACCGATTTGAATAATTAAAAAAACATTCGATTCGTATTGATAAGGAAACGTGCTGATTAGTTTTTGGCGAAGACAGGTCTAGCCGTTCCGAAGATACGGGGCAAAAAGTGCCAAAATCGATAACTCAATTTTTAGGAGAACGGAGCGTCCGATTTTAATAATTCAAAAAACATTTTACTTGCATTGACAAGATGAAGAACTGATCAAATTTTTGGGAAGCCAGGTCCAGCGGTTATGGGCTCTCAATAAAAATAAGTTTAAAAAATGTCATTTGGCGGTCAAACATGTTTATTGGACATATGTACATCAAATTATCAGATATTTTATAGAAATTTTAATGATGTGTACACATTTTGTGTAATTTGTTTTGGGTTTCGTACCAATATTTTCAATTTCGGTACGGGAAGTTGCAGCAATTTGCCTTAAGACACGATGCCATGCACCCCACTAGTTGTATATTTTAATATCAATTCAAGTATGAAGTAAAGTTTTGTTTGCAGACAATATGATTATGAGAACTTCTTGTGCACTTTATTACTTCCAAATAATGCTCGGCGCTGCGCATTTGCAATTCGAGCATTCAATGCGGAAATTGCACGCGTTCAGAGTAACGTTTCAGACGCCAGATTGGGCCAAGCCCGGATAAAATTTTGGGAAGAGGCAGTTGATAATATGTATAAATCAGGAGAGCCCATACCTGATAATCCCATAGTCTTTGAAGTGAATGAGGTAAACTATATTCCACACTGATGAAATTATTACAATGAAAAAAATAACTATATATTTAACTGTGCCTCGGGGTCTTAGAGCCTTTGCCTATTCTTATAATTCTCCAGAAATGTACCTTTTTCAGGCGGTGAAAAGCCATAAACTGACAAAATCATTTTTAAAAAGACTTTTACAAAGTCGCGAGCTACGTTTATTGAAATCTTTCTGTGTGACTACCGAAGATCTTTTAAAATATTCCGAAGATAGTGTATCTTGTGTTTACTATTTAGCTTTGGAAGGATGTGGAGTCAAGAACGTCCATGCAGATCATGCTGCTTCACATCTAGGAAAAGCTCAAGGAATCGCCAATATGTTAAGGTTAATGGAAAACGAATTATCCTATTATATGAAATAAATATTTACTTCTAATCGCCTGTCGAAATTTTATATTTTGTTTCCAAATAATCAGTCAATGATTAAATTTTGTCCTTTTGACCCACAGGTCTCTTGCTATAACTACTGAGTCTCGATCAGTATTTTTACCTCAACAAATACTCATGAAGCATGGATTATCACAAGAGCAAATAATTCGTAAGCAAGATAGTAAAGGATCTAGGGACGCTATTTTTGAAATTGCCAGCGAGGCTAACTATCATTTAGAGAAGGTAAGAAATTGTTTGTTTTATTTTAAAAAATTTGAGCTCGACGTGGTCAAAACTAGTCAATCAAACTAGTCCCTTGTTTGATACCAATATCAACCATTTTGGTATTCAATGACCCCTGGGTTGCCAACCCGAGATAAATAGAAGGCCATGATGTACGAAAGTAAACATATAAAATAATAAAAATTTAAAGGACTTTTAAGTAATTTTGTGAAACAATTCTAATTAAAATGTTGAAGTTGCAATTTTCGGCAATTCTTCATGTGTATTACCTTAAAGTTTGAACTACCACTTATCATCACTTGGTTGATCCAATATTTAAAATAGTAATTTGAACTTGATCTTATCCAATGAATTGAATAAATTTTAGGCCCGCGAATTGACCAAATCGGTGCCAAAAGAAGCCAGACCAGTTTTATTACCAGCCGCGGCGATCGCTAATTATTTGGAAAGATTGCGTCGAGCAGATTTTAGAGTCTTTGATGATTCATTACGTCAACGTTATCATATGCTACCAATTGCGATTTATTGGAATAAGTTACGCAGGAAATATTAAATTATTTTTAGTTTAAATAAGCTAGCCAAAGACGAAGCAAAAGTGGTTCAAGAGTATGACGTATGCTGAGTTGTAATGTAATTGTTGGTGATTATTTTGTGTGTTTTAGTAAAATTATTGTTTCAAATTTCTCAAAACACGAAAAATAAATCATATGTAAATAGAAAATTTTGTGTTATTATTTTTATATGACAAAACAATTTAATAGTTCTTTGCTATTGATATGACTCAAAGTTTTATGATTTTACAAATTACTTCAAATATTTTGATAGTAACTTCGGTAATTTTCCGCTATCAGTATTGGTACTTTAACAGTTTGATATATCCATCGTTCTTGGTTCTAAACCAGTATTTCGTAATTAATGCTATTTGCATACGTTGAATAAATTTAAGTTATGGGGCAGATCTTGTATAATCAACAGCTTTTGACGCACTTGGTCCGCTTCTAGTTTGTATGAAATACTTTTGAATATCATTTTTCGAGAATCTAATTATCTTCCTATAATATTTTAATTTATGCGTAAAATATTTGTCTTCTAACTCGTAATATTCTGTTTTTTAAGCACATTTCTGAGTAAAATAGCACAAACGAGATCGAATTCTAGTTTGAATCTGCTTAGTAATAAAATTAAGAAAAATTAATTAGTCGTTACGATTACAAAACTCATCGATGAAGTTCTTCACCTGGTACCTACTGAATAATTTAAAATTTTATAATATACATTTAATTTTAAATTATTATTTATCAATTAAAAATACTCAACACGATTTATGAGCCTATAGGATACTCTGGCTATTTTGAGAAGCATTACTTTGATATACTATATTTTTTGGAAGTTATAGATTAAATTAAATTAAATGTTAGTTCAGCAACATTATTAGTATTAACAAGTTTTATTACAAAATGATTACTATTTAAGTACATGCAGCTTATCAATTAGCAAATTGGATATTTATGGATAAAACTTAATTTTGTGATTGTTCATAGCCCAAGTGCTTTTTTTATTTCAAATTTGTCCGTTCTACCCCTTCAACTGGTGAATTATCCGTTTACAATCTGATCGTTGAAATTAAAAATAATAATAATTAAAAAAATAATTTGTTATGATGATGATATTACGCCATCCGATGTTGCAAATAATTAAAATGAGGTTGGTTGGAGGACAAATAATTGGTAAACAGAATTTGCGACACGTGTTTATCTTGAAATATATCTATATATTGTATTGATTTAATTTAGAAGGTGTGTGAGATCATCAGCCAATCGCAAGCAAAACAAAACCGGATCCATGTTTATCACGGTTTTCCTGTTTCGCTTATAAAAACTAGAATGACATTTAATTCGATGCACATATTTCAGATATCAAGGGGTTTTGGTAACACATTGGTATTCCACCTCAAATTATATAAAATCATTAAAGTACAATAAATTGAAGATGCTTGAACTTTAGAGTTGTACAACATAGTTCTTGATGCTTCCTTCAACTCTTATAAACAAGTTTTTAATTGTTCCTTAGAACTAATCAATGCGACCAGCTGATCTCTTTCTTACTAACTTATAATATCTGTAATTGTATTAATTAAATTTAATTTATTCAACACATTTAATTCTACTTGGTAATCTAAAATGTATTTCATTTAAGGCGTCAACGGCGATCAGTATGAAAACTAGAATGAAATATACATGGTCTGAAATTCTAAACTATAATAATTTTTTATAATTAAACATTTTGATGGCATATAATATTTTAAGGAGTTTCTTTAGGCCCTGAACTCACTGGCAAATTTTTCATTGAGTTTTGCAAGAAAACATAGATGAAAGGTCAAAATGTGGATCACATACACACGAACACACAAACATACATATACATACATATATAGCATGTGCTCAATTACTGAGCAAGGCGTGCAAATTATAAACCTGTTACAAAAATTTCAAGTATCAGAAGAGTTCTACATGAATAAAAATCATACGACAAAAGTCATATCGTCAAAGTGCATATATTAGCTAAATTTGCAATATTCAACTTAAATATGAATAATTTGAATAAATTATTCTAGGATAATAAAAAAACAAGTAAGAAGAACATCTGCAACAAAACTATACAACATGGAGACAGGTTGTTCTAGAATCTAGATGAATTTAGAGTACATATTTATATTTTATATTTTAGAGCATTTTGAAACATATTAGTATCAAATTTGAAGAAATATTTATAACTAACTGATTTAAAAAATATATATAATAATATATAAAACTATATTATAAATCTGGAAGGTGAAGCTTTGTAACTCGTTCGTAGCATGGCGCACTGATAAGGATCATGAAGTGCTACGATCAGCTACGACATTACATAGCAATGAATAAGAGAATTGAGTTGATTTTAATGGATATTGTTAATTTTTCAAACAAAAATATTTTTAGATAAACAGGAAAACCTCATAAAATCTAATTTTTATATTTGCTATTTTTTGTTGCTTACTTACATGCTCATATAAATAATTATTATAGCTGAAGCAATGGAAATTTGATACAATTTTAATTTAATCTTTTATAAATCACGGTTAGAAGACAAAATTGTGTGCTTTTACTGAAATTCCCAACATTCTTTCATTGCATAACTGTTTATGGCACAGATCTTTATCAACAATTTTAGCCGCCAAGCTCCCGTTAGCGGAGATTATATCATAGAAAAGGGCTGATTGCTATTAAACACTACAGCCAAAATAGTCTTGATAACACTTCGCCATTCAGTCAACAAAATATCTTCCAAGAAGCTTCATATTTTTCTTTATATTTTGTAGATTTTATTTTAAATATTGTCAGTTCCAAAACGGACTTTCACCTATACGCAGTTCGATGGTGCTACGTATATATATAAATTTATGCATTTACTAACACAAACGAGAATTGTGTATAAAATATCTATAATAAAACTAGTTTTGGATTTCTGAAACCAGACTCTGGTCAGCCCAAGACTTAAACCGATACAAAAACTAAGAATTGTGAATCAATAGTATCAGTGCATTGCGAAGAGCGTGGTGATCAGGAATTGAAATTGAGGGAATTTTAATGCAGATTTTGATATAAGCTTGGAACTTTTATTTTTCATATGTAGAACAAAATTATTTAATCTACCATAATATCCTATAGTGCCTTAAATTTTTGAGATATTATTGTACAAAAACAAATCTAAAACATAGTGAACATCACTTAAATTAAATTTTAAACTTATCAGACTATTATTTAGTTATCTTGTGTGTCAATGTCCCCGGGCACAGAAAACGGTTTGAAGCCAATTGCACCCTTTGCGTCTCAAAAAAGACGCTGGGATGTCAAAGTGTCAAAGTTTGCCACCAACACTGTCAATCCAATTCGTGAGATAGTGGATAATTTGAAATTGGAACCAAATCCTGATAAACAGATGATAGCACTTTCTATTGGTGAGTTATATATTCCATTCTGGTTAATCTGGTGTATTGACGATTTTAGGTGGCAGATGGCCACACGAGCTTGCAGAGCTTTATTATAAACAATGCGACTTTTAAAATCACACATTTATATTAATAATAAATAATAGATACTGCCTATTTGAACATTTTGTGTATAACTGCTGTTTTTGGATTAATTTGCCAAATCTGATTTTTTATATATATAAATTTTGAAATTAATCTATTAAGACACAAGTACCTAATTTGTTTTGCTGCTAATTAATTATTTCAAATACTAATGTATAATGTTCTTTTATTATTCATTATATATTCTCTTAGACATGTATATATGCATATAACTAAACTAAACTTCATATTGGCTTCGTTTTCCATCCTAGTGATTCGTTCTGCATCTTCAAATCTTTTAAAGTTTTATAAATCTTAAATTAATTTATAAATAGATAATTTTGAAACTAAATCTATTGGAACCCAATTACCAATTTTCACAATTTTAAAACCTATGGTTAGTAATATCATGATTAAGCTTTTGGGGGTATTTATTATCATATATGTGATCAGTAGGAATTAATTAATACCATCAAGGTAGAGTTAGCTTAAATTATCAGGTGTAATATTTTTTATAAACTTATTTCAAATTATTTTGGCTAAATCTACATTTTTTTCTGAGAAATCTACATCTTTTTTCTAACCACATTACCTAAACAATATCATCATTGGTTTATTACATCTAAGTATAGTAATATTTTAGGTATTATTATGTGTGCTTTTATTACAAGAAAAGCTCATAAAACAATAATTAATTCTGCTATGTGATTTATGTATAAATATTTTTATTTATGTGTGTATATATGTATTTTAAGCAAGTTTATATATACACACATATAAATATACATATATTTATATCCTGGTTTATATATTCAAGAGTGTTGTGTTTTCGTATTTTGTTTGTATGTGGAAATTTATATCGTAGAATTGTCGCATAAACGTCGCAAAAACGACTTTATAGGCTACTTAGAATGCGTATATCAAGTTTGACGAGATTCCGTATTTGCATAATCTGCGCATACATATTTAAAAATTCAATGTGAAAGCTCTTTGAAATTTTGGCAAGATCAATTAATTAGTACGAAATATTTGCACATATGTATAAAATTGTACATGCTGTGATGTATTGAGATTGTGTGTAGATATCGAACCATCGAGAAATTATATATACACACACATATATATATATATATATATATATATATAATATAATGCAATAAAAAAATTCATATAATGTCAAAAAATTTATAGAAGCTAGGTTACTCCTAGCCACTTTTAGGTAACTTTACCAAAAGCCTTTAGAAAAGGCAGTCTTTACCAAGAGCCAAAATTTATAAATTTTAAAATTGCTGTATTATAAAACACATTCATTGAATCACATTGAATTTTTATTATTTATTATTTACCAAATAAATTGTGCAAATATACATTTAAAAATGCAACATAAACTGCAATTATTTAATAAATCATCAACTGCTAATGCGATCTTTATTTATTCACTTGAATATATTATTCAATCTTCTGGTGTAAATTCAAATTTATTATTCAGCATAAACCAGACTTGCATATAATCATTTCTGTGGTTCGACGAGGTAATTGAATATTAATCAACAAAATTATTGATTTAAATTTTAATTAAAAAATATACGTATTAGACAATATCTGCTTATATCAGGACTACAAAGTTGAACAAGAACTACATATATCAAAAAATAGTAAATTTGTTTAGTTATTATTTTCAAAAACTAGAAATATGAGCAATTAATATTGAGTACTTGTTTATGCATCAAGTCGATAAATATATTAAATACTTTTCAAAATAATTTATATAATGAGATAATTATGAATCAATATGTTATCCAAGTACCTTTCCTATAATTACTTCAGGAGAGTCTAACTATTTGTAAGATTTTGAACTAATAAATTAATTATCAGTTAAAATTAACTACTCTTAATATAATATATTTTTTAAATTAATATAATTTGTACTATTCCATTATATTGATATTCCATTTAGCCCAATCATTATTAAAGATTCTGAAACATACTTAACTTTGAATCGTTTTAATTTACATTCTAGTTTCATGAAAAAAATGATAAATATAATTCTACAAGAATCTGGAATTAATTAAATATACATGAGACATAGTCGTTCCGCGATATTCAATTTGAATGAACCGCGTTCAGTTTGTCGCTAGGTGTTAACTTCATGCAAGAGCAGATGTACATTGCCAACACAACATAAATATAATTGCACAAATAATATTGTCAAATTGACGTTTAGTATTCATTAGTGAAAAGCTTAGGAAAAAGTGTTAAAAACCGATGTAAAAATGTTTATTTCTTATTGTGCGTTAATAGATTAATTGCTTTATTTACAAAATTATGAATTCTGTCTTTTCTAATGACTTCAATATAACTTAATCCGTTGATGTTTGTGAACGCATTTAATCAAATAATTAAGTTATCACGATGGTTGAATTTATGGACTTACCATTAGAAATATTAGCATTGATTTGTTCAATGCTTGATACTTCTTCAAAGCTCAAAATGTGTAAAACATGTGCTTTCTTTGACAATATGATGTCCTCTAAAAGTCTAGTAAGACACATGAGATTGAACACTGTCATCGACTTCGACAAACAAGATATCGAATTTATTGTAAATAATAGAATCAGATGCAATAATATTACTACTCTTAATGTCGATGGCTGGTATTGGATACCACGAAGGGAGTTATACCTGGCTATAAGAAAACTAACCAATCTTAAAGAATTGTTTGCACTTGATACAAAATTACAGGTCCAAGATATTTACTTATTGCTCGGAGTATTAAAAAATTTAGAATTTGTGTCATTCACATACCTCGATGGTAAAATTCAACGAGAGGCATTGCAAAAGTATAAAGAACGATTTAGGCAGTTATCTACTTTGATGATAGAATATAGAGGATCTAAGGAGCTTGATCAGTTATCATCATTCTTATCAGGTTTTAAAAATTATTGTGTTACACCTACTTTGAGGAAAGTAAATTATAAACTTATCAATAGAGATTATTTGTATATTAAGCTCAGAAATAGTTCTTTTCTGAAAGATTTGTATAATGGTGCTTTACCTGGTTATTATGAACTGCTTTGCGCATTTTTGCCTGATTTAGAACCAGTTGAATGGACTCGTAGGACAACATATCGATTAGCTTTTGCTTATGATACTTTACTACAAATGAGAGATAAGAAAATTACTGTGAGAGATATTTATAAAATATGTTTATTTGACATCAAATATAATTTTAAAGATAAACAATTACCGGATACATTTAAAACTATTACCGATCTGTTTTTAAATGATGAACAAATATTTGATGTCCCCAATGCTCCAAGGCCTCCAAGTAAGAGCCGTTCTAAGAAGCAGAGATTGGGTGTGCAAGAAAGTGCAGATGATGAAGAGAAACAGCCTATTAGGACTTTAGCGGCCGCTTGCCCAAATTTACGGGTATTATGCATTAAAAAAAGAGAAAATTCTGAAACTTCAATGACATGGTACTCGAATTGCTTAAGAAGCATCTCTTTGTGGAAGCACTTAAAGGTTCTAACTTTACATAACATTGAAAGCAGAAATGGTGCATTTTTACAAGACGTAGCCAAAAATTGTCCAGACTTAACTCATTTAACATTGTGTTTAACAGGCCCTCCTGGGTCCGTTTGCATATTTGCCACTGACATTTGTGAGGCGTTGCCATATATGACGAGAATACAATACTTCCATGTGCAAGAAATAGAACCTCGAGTTCAAGACTTATTGCATGCTCTTGCACATTGCTCTACTTTGAGAGTTGTAATGATGCAAATAAATCATAAGCTTTGTGTGAGGAAAGTTTCTAATGTTAATTATGATAATTTAAAATTTTTACTAGTAAATGTACCAGAATTAATATTTCTTCATATTATCGATCCAGAATTTACAAAACATTGCGCTTATAATCTAGAAACTGCAATAAAGAAAGAATTTAAGTCTAGAAAGTGGTTAAAAGTTTACATGGATGACTGCAAATGTGAGGTTACTGCTGAACGTTTAAAACCATTATTCTTAAACGATTATGATTTGACAAATTGGACATACTGGATGAAATAGTTATTTATTAATTAAACTTTCAATTGAATTAATTGATATATATATATATATATATATATATATATATATATAATTATATAATACGGAAACAAGAACCTATTTTTTGTATTACATTATTGTACCTTACCTTATTTTATCACAATGACTGAGATTTTTAGGTAAAATTGTAATGCAATAATAGAATATGTAGCGTATAAGTTTGCATATATTTTTTGAAGGTTGTGCTTTGATTTCTGTAAGTGAATAAAAACCTTTGGTTTTCATATTGATTTATTTCAGTAAAATAAGTGGACAAGATGAATCTAAATAATCATGCAATGTACAATTTTTGGTTTATCTGAACAGGTTATCGGAAATATAGTTAAATTTACTGTTGCTTGGGTTGATTCCAATAATTAAATCTTTATTTTTTTTTAAAGATATTTATTTAAAGAGAACATGTTGACACAGTAAATATTTTTCATAGTACTTATTTTACCTCATTGTGATATAAATTCCATATGCTGTTTTTCTTTTTAGTAATATAAATTATGATTTTATTTAATTTATTTACATAAATTCTGATATTTATGTAAGCGCAATTGTATATTAAGTTTGTGAAACAGTTAGAAATGCTTCGATATTAAAATCGATAGAAAACCTATAATGCTAGAGGTAATTTTATGTAAATTATGACGTAAATAAATGAAACACTTACATCATACAAATATGAAGTTTTGTTTAAAATTAAATGAATACATGTTGAGTAATTTTTTATTCATAAATGAATTAATATCTAAAACTTACTTTATATGTACTATAGTACACTTTTCTTTCTATTTCTGCAATCACTAATATGCCTTTTTAATTTTATACACAATATATTTTATAGACAGTTTTTAATTTTATACACAATATTTTATTTTCTAACGCCTTAGATTGGTTTAAACCCTCAAGTTTCTTATATTTTTTCATACTATTAATAGTACTTAAGATAGTACATTTTTTAGGATATCTGTTTTTTACATTTCATTAATCTATTAAAATTAAATTTTCAGTAAATACACAAATAATTCGTATAGTATTACAGTATTTTCTTTAGAATTATGTTTAATCCAATTTTAGAGCTCCAAATTGATTTGAAATCGATCGCAAAGTCTGAAGTGTTTATCTGAATTAAAATTTAATTATTTAAGTATTTTGCTTAGTACTTGTATTTACCTTCGTTAGCTATAATATATATATATATATATATATATATATATATTTATATATTTATTGCTACAGATATTTTATACTGACAATCTGCAATACCTGATTGCGCAAATCAGCAACGATCGGAAACTTCCATTGACTGGAACAAGAATGTTACCTTGTTAATCGCTTGTAGTTATATTTTTCGATTTATAGATAAATTATTTGTAACCTACCAAATCACCCACCAGTACAGTGGTCTGACAAGGTCTATTATATAATTCTAGATAAAATATAAGTACAAAACTGTAGGTTTGATACTTAATTGGGTAATTGGCCGATGGGAATTTTAAAATAAACTGGTAGGTCTTATATGTTTTCTTTCTGATAAAGGTAATTACTTTAATGGTGATATTTATTATAGAATTTGTTCAGTTTTGATGCCGATATAAAAATTTCAGGTTAAATTTTAAAACAACCTACTGATCCTAAATAGTTGTATACTTAAGTATATAACTATTTAATTAACTATGTATTTATTAATAAAATTAATTAATTGTTTAGTTTATAAAGATCTGAACATAAATATATTCAATGAGGAAATAAATAAATTCAGCAAAAAATGATTTGGCAATTAATGTATTTTTTTTGTGAAGACATATTGTAATTTAATGGAATAAAATAAAAAATGATATAAGATCTTTACATAAATATAAATATTTTATACTATTTTATAATACATTTTTCAAACTTTTAATTTATATAAAAACTATTATATAATAATTTCAAATATTCATATAAACTGCAGAATCCTGCATTCGAAATTTGCATCAAATTTAATATTTTTTTTAATAATATTTAAATTCATTAAAGAAAATCTATATTTCAAACAATAATATATATTATATGCAAAATTCTATATTTTCGAAAATATTACGATTGTATATAAATGAATTTATACATTTATACATTTATACACACAAACATATATACAAGTACACATATATAAAGAATGTTTCGAATCGTACAAATAAATTTATAATTAAAACAATATTCGGTGTGAATTATATAATAATATACATTCATTCATCATATTTAGTGTTATAATAAATCTAAGACTATTTTCTCTTCCCATGGGATGTTTTACCGTTTTCCGTAATTTCACATCATATTATCATGCTCAATGCTGCTAAAATATATTCTCCAGTGATAAAATTTACACTCAAAAAACTAAGTCCTTTATTATTTATCCAGGTGACCCAACTGTTTTTGGTAACTTGAAACCTCATTCAACAATCCCAAAAGCCTTGTGCAAGGCCTTAGAATCCGGAAAAAACAACGGTTACGGTCCAGCCGTTGGTTTTCCAGCCGCCCGAGAGGCCGTCGCAAAATATAGCCGACATCAAGGCCCAGTCACAGCTCAGGATGTCATCCTTTGCAGCGGTTGTTCCTGTGCACTGGACATGTGCATATCAGTGCTGGCCAATCCAGGAGAGAATATACTGATGCCCAGGCCTGGTTTCTCGATTTATAGAACTTTGGCCGAGGGGATGGGCATACAAGTTAAATATTACAATCTGCTGGTGAGAAAGGACTAAAATAGTAAAAATTATTCTTACACCAGTTTTATATGTCTTTTACTAATTTTCCTTTATCATTTCCACCCAGCCCGAACGTGAATGGGAAGTAGATCTCCAACACATGAGGTCCCAAATTGACGACAAAACTCGTGCCATGATCGTCAATAACCCATCTAATCCTTGTGGATCAGTCTACACAGCTGATCATCTGCGAGATATCCTCGATATTGCTTCCGAATTTAGAGTTCCAATTATTGCTGATGAAATTTACGAACATTTCGTATTTCCTGGCAATGAATTTCACTCCATGGCTAGCTTGAGTGATGATGTACCCATACTTTCTTGTGGCGGTCTCACAAAAAGGTAGTAATATTGTCTCATATAAGATTTACTACTATTATCTATTTTGTTCTTAGGTTTTCGTTATAATTTTCAGGTTTTTGATTCCTGGTTGGAGAATGGGTTGGATTATAATAAATGATAGAAATGATGTTTTCAAGGGGGTACGCAAAGGCCTCCAAAGTTTAAGCACACGTATAATTGGCAGCAATACCTTGGTACAAGGCGCTTTGCCAGAGATATTGGCAGATACTCCACAAGAATATTACGATGATCTTGTTCTTACACTCGCGGTATGCAAAAATAATTAATAAATATATTCCATCCTCAAAGTACACAATTTAACTATCTCTTAATTTCAAATATTTACAGAGGCATGCCAAATTAGCATACGAAATGCTAAAAGATTTACCAGGTTTGACCCCAGTAATGCCTCAGGGTGCTATGTACATGATGATCGGCCTTGACATGGAGAATTTTCCGGAATACAAAACCGAGATGGATCTTGTACAGGAATTGGTCAAGGAACAGAGCGTTTTTTGTCTTCCAGGACAGGTAAAAAAATATAAAATTCTAATGCAAAATTTATAGTATTTGTATGCCATATTTTTCATCCTGCAGTGATTTCTATATTTATTCAACATAAAACTTTGTAAGATGTTTTTAATTTGTTTACAAATTATGTATATTAAATTTATCAGAATTTGTATGCTGATAAATTGTGATAATAGTCAGCATATTTCACCTTTACCATTATGATATTTTTTTAGCCAAAATTATGAAATATGTCTCAGATTCGCGAGATAAAAAATCGTACATACATTACAAAATAAAATAAAATTTTACATAAATTATATAAAATTATTTTAAATAAATTTAACTATGATGTTTTAGTGTTTTTGAGTATCCTAATTACATGAGGATGGTGCTAACCGTACCTGAAGAAATGATAGAGGAAGCTTGCAAGAGGATTGCTGAATTTTGTGAACAGCATTATAAAATGAACAATAATATTAAAGTAATGCAAATATAAGTTAATATTTAAAAATTATGTAGAAAGGATGGGTTACTATCGATGTATACGACAAGTTTTTTAATTACTTATTGGAATTTTATATTTATTAATGCATATCCCATCGAATAAAAAGATCAAAAATATCAATTTTTAAAGACAAAAAAAACTGTTACTAATATAATATTCAAAATTATTGATAAGCATTTGTTTAATGTTATTATTTTTTTATTGATGGTCAAGTTCTGAAATCATCAACAGGATACTTTTTTGTACTATTTAGCAGTGATATTATTCTTTGTCAATTCTTCGTCTCAAAAAATTTTGATAGTTTTTGATATTAAAAAAAAAATTATAAAATGTTTACTTCTAATTAATTTGTAAACTTCTGCTAATGAAGTATTTTCATGTAAAAATACATTAGAGCTTATATTAAGCTAACCGATATAATTTTCATTTACAAAAATTGTTTGTGAAATATTCAGCGTTTGTGACGCAGATGTTTATTTAAAAGCATTTTTTTATTGAAAATGTAAAGTCATGTTGTGATATTCTGTAACAGACTGTAGCACATATAAATAAATTTAGAAGCAGTAACCAAAAAATGTTTTTTTAAATATTAATTTAAGGTAAGAAATTTATTTACTTTATATATCAAGTATCTGATCTTTGTTAATTTGTTCATCATCAAAATTATATAATTGATTACAGAAGAGACTTTAGGAATTGGGAACGCACATTATGCTCCAATGAAATTATTCTACTTTTACAGTAAAATATTAAATAAATAATTTATAATCATCTTGTGAGTGTGGCGTATCAGGTAAGATTTATACCGTTTTTAATAAATCAACAAACAGGTCCTATTTATAAAAATGTACAAAAATGTATCGAATATCGATTGATATGGAAAATATAAAATTGTAGAAGACGAATTGTTATTGGTTGGTATACCTGAAATTTATCTATATTTTCCCAGAAAATTAATTCAGTTCGTGTTGGGTGTTCGTAGGATTGAGGTGAAATCATGGTGTTTAGTGCAAAAATTGTGATAAAATACTTTTGGATTCAGTAGCCAAGGAGAAAATACAAATCATGGGTAAGTCACCTTAATTTAGTTGTAAATTTATTTTACCAAAACATAAAAAATAAAACATATTTGAGTATACGAATACATTTTAATCGACACGTTAAAATATACATGTTATAAAAGAATTATTCTGTATATGTATTTATAATTGTAATAAGTATATACATATACAAATCGACAAAACACTGATTCGTTAGATATAAGTGCCTTAATTAGAATTTATTATAGGTACATTATTTATACAAGTTAGTTAAATACAGTTAGTAGAATGAAACAGTTAGCAGACATTGAAATTAGTAAAAATAATTTTTAGTTTGATCGTAATAAGAAAATGTTCAATTTGTAATGGTTTCTTGAAAAAATAATCACAAATTATAATATTTATGTCACGTGTAGACTGAGATAGTCTACGATGCTTGAATTTATTAAATAATTCATCACGATAATAAACAGTAAATTAATGAATTTTTAAGATTCAAAATAACAAGCTAGATTTTTTAAATAAAATTGAAACCATTTCCAGATCAACTTCTTTGTTATTATCCATAACTTTTTAATGTTCAAAGCAAATTAAATTTTTTTTATTCAGTTATTGAAATTGAAACAACCTTCTTGTAATTATTTAAGAAAGTTATAATATTATTAATTTCAGTGTCCATATACTAAAGGCACTCAGATAGATCTCCTTTTACACCATACATGCATATTATTTTTAGAAGCATATTTTTCATTATTTTTTAAATTAAGCAACTTATTAAAAGATAGTTGCAGTGGGGTTTTCAATTTGTTTTTGAATGAAAAAATGCGTTTGAGAAAAAAATCTTTCCATTTAGCTATTATGTGAATTTATAATTTCATTCCTTATCTGCACTATTAGATAATAGATTTTTATTTAATATCATCAAAAATCGTACAGTCATTTCAGAGCTGTATTTTGTTAGAAAATTAGTAGATTTATTAGATATTATTCTATCTGCTAAACAAGTTTCAGATTTTAATCCACATTTAATATAATAAATTAGAAATATAATGTATGCTAGAAATCAATACATTATAATTCATAATAATTGCTTCGAACGTAAACAAATATTTTTCATTTTATTTTATGGATTAATCAAATATCAAATTAAGTATATAAAAAAATTAATTCAGTTATATAACTATGCCATCATTGATTTATTTCATTCATAAATATTTAGAATTATTTAAATAATTCCCTTTTAATATGATATAATATTATCGAAGAATAAATATTTACGTTGAGTTATTGAATATTATATTAAGATCACTTTAAATTATGAAATTCTGAATTTTTTTCTGAATCTGATTATTTAGGTTATTATAAACAATTTTATAAAGTTTTTTTTTCAATTTATTTTATGAATTTTTTTAAATTATTCAAATTTCAAACAAAAATCCCCACTGTATGTTATTAGTAAAGAATAATATAAAAGTGCATGCTATTATTTATCCACAATTATTTTTAAGTAATACTGTTATATCTGCACATTCTTACAACTATAATTATTGTCTTTTAATTACTTAAATTTTTATAGCAAATGTTTCTTGACAACTACATTGATTTTATAGATTTTTACTATTTTTTCACCTATCTAAATATTTGAATGACTCGTAAAATTTGGATATTATTATGAATTCTTGCAAAATAATTTTAATGACTTTATACTACGTTTTGTATACTTTTCAGTTATATATGTAATTTTGCTTGAAATTATATCTAGCATGATAAGAAGCAATATAAAAATGTTATGAGACATTAATTTCTTTAACAACAATAGATTTCAAAGATTTCAAAATTTAAATAGAAATTTACCTAAAAATCATAAATTAGATACTGTATCAAAAATATCAGACCTACATTATTATTACACAACTATTTCAGGATCGTATTAAATTTTAAATAAATGGTTAATAATAATATATATCCAACAAATATTAATAAATAGTTATGTAATCATTGAGCATTATTAAAATTTATTTATTTGTCACTAACGAAATTAATGTCAACTATTTCAATAAAGCCAAAATATTTTATGTTCTCCAATAAAACTTCTAATTCTTTTTGTACACAAATTATTGTCATAAAAATTATTTTATATTCTATTTTGTACTGAATAAATTGATTTTTCGGTTCGTTCAATGTAAATTCATTTAAAATTGCTTCTTGTTAAAATTCCTGTTCATTCTTGAATATTTATATTAATTGATTTTTGTATCTTTAATAATTATATACACGACAAATAGAATATATTTGAGCTTTATAATACATTCATATTCTCAAGGCTCTAATCACATCGTAAATTTTCTAAAAAAAATTAAAGTTTTGCTGATTATAAAATTAAAACTATAAACTATAAATATTAATTTTTGTAAAATATTTAAAATTAACGATATAGATAAATGGTAATTTTTATAAGGTACAAAAAAATTAAATTTAATTGATTTAGTTAGTTTTTGCATGAAGTTAATTAATTTCAAATTCAATCACATAAATTAGTATTGTCATAGATAATATCTTATCTTATATCTAAGCAACGAAATATTTAACAGTATAATAATTATTAATAACAGAAATTACAGGATTTTTATAATAAATTTAAACAAATTTAAAAATGATTATATAATTATTTTATAAAAAACAATGTTTAAATCTTAACGTAATATAAAATCTGACATTTTATCCCGGGCTATAAGTATTATTGTAATTAACATTATTAATTAATATCGAATATTATGTTTTATAATATAATTATTTTAGAGCCTACATTTACATAATAAAAATTAAGTAACCGTTTTAATTAATTTTGTTTATTGCAACACTAAATATAGTTAAATTTTTTTGTGTATACATTTATATCAAAAATCGAGAGTGATAAAAAATAATTTTTTGGGTAATAATATTATTTTTTGAAATCAGTACGATTTTGGTTTCAAGCTTGAATTTTGATATAAACATATAAATTATAGTATTTTTGCAAATAGAGTAAATATTAGCAAATACTTCACAAATAACAAATCGACAAATCTCCTCAAGCTTAGATTTCGACACTTTGCATATATTCATTGAATTTTAATACTTTCGATTGAAAATATTAAATATATATTATTGTCATAATATTAAAATCCTATTAAACAAGTTTATTGTCAAAACCCTCAAATTTATCACATTTTTTAAAATCTGAATTAGATCTAAATATACAAGAACAAACCTACATCGAAATATTCTTAACAATTCCTTAACATTAATTATTATCATTTTTATATCAATGTTTTAAATATTACAATATGTTTAAGCCTAAAAATAGAGTAAAGTGTCGCGCAGCATTTTGAATGAAAACTCGAATTCATCCTAAATTCAGTACCAATTGCAAAAAAATCATATTCCAATTAAAATATTAAATAATATACAAATTGGTTTTGTGGTAAACAAAAGCCAAAATCAGCTTCAGCTGACCAAATGAAAAAAATCCATAACACTCTTATTTTTATAAAAAGAAATCAAGAAAAATCCTATTAAAATAAAATAGAAGTAATTATTAAAAATGCATTTTTTTGGATGTTTTTTAAAATCAATAAAAAAAATTATTTTCTTATTAATTTTGCAATTGGTACCATATAATTTATATGCTTTCTCATACTTAAAGTATTTATTTATAGCTTAATACTAGTATTTTTATTGTCATACATTACTGAGTTCAATATTATTGTCAAAATTCAGTTAAATTTCGTAAATGTTAAAAAATCTCATTTTTTTAAATCTTGAGGTCCAAGATTTTTATTATCCCTTCTTGAATCAAGCTTTTTGTATTAATAAAACAACAAATTCATATTAAATTAGATCAATCCTTAAAATCGTCAATTTTTAAAATATGATGATTATAAATTGTTTTGCTATAATACATTTTTAGGTCAATAAACATTTTCAATAATTCTTTTAAAATTTAAGTTTAAAAATAAAAATAGCGGTAATTTACTCATAGGTAAAGATTATTAGAAAATACTTTAAATATTCAATATAATTATTAAAAATAAGTATTTTTTTAATTGTCGTTTTATTTAATCCTAGTATATAATTTTAAAATAATAAATGCTTTAATAAGCATTTATTATTTCAAAATTATATACTAGGACTGAAAAAAATTATGACAAATTAAAAAAAAAAATATTGCACTAATGTGCAATATAGCTAAACACGTTAACAATAACAAATTACTTTTTCTATGAAAATATTCAAACAAAAATAATATATATGTATACAGCTCTTACATTAAATTGAAAACCCCTTATAATCTTAATTTTATTTTTTGTTTCCGAAATATGTATCTGTCTTGTTCAAATCTATAGAAAACTCAGCACATAAAGCTACTATAGAGAATTTTATAAGATACTTTAGATACTTTGGATATATATATAAGAGAGTTTTCAATTAATTATTAACGAACTCATATATTATAATGTAACAAAATATATGAGATTGTTCAAACAATGTATAAAGATTAGTACAAGTCCTATAAGAATCGTATAAGAATCTTGAAAGATTCACGTGTAACAGTTCAAGTTGTTAGATTTTGTTCTTGGTATATATTTAGCATTTATTTTTACCAGTCTGACGAATATAAATACTACTATTTTAGACTTTAAAAAAATTCTTTTGTAGGATTAAATTGTTTTTCAATCATATACGCTGCACGGCGGATATGTTTTTCCATTGATATATGCATTGGTTGTAAAATTCATCCTTTGTGTGCGCTAATAGTTTTATTTACTAACTTCAACTAGAACAGTTGTAATTGAATAATTGTAACATATAAAAAATCCGAAAATTGTATTTATATATTAGTATCAATAACAAAAAAAAATTGCTGAGTTTGGTAAGTGTTAAGGCAAGGCTATATTTGATGAAATTTGTCCAGACCAGTATTTTATATAGAATTTTATTTATACACGAAGCATAATGTGTATAATTTGTTGTAGTAAACTTGAATAAATGTTTAATTAATAAAACAATCCAATAATCATGATTTTTCCATCCATTCTAGTTGAAATTAGTTTCAATGTAGCTATTTCTCATAGCCTTAGATAGAAGCACTCGTAAGGATTACTGATATTCATCATTATTCGGTTGTCATTCCTCGATTCCATTTAATCCTCGTATCAGACTGGTAATAATAAATGCTAAAGCTGCTAAAGGCCATGATGCATTTTGAGAAATGCTGGGTGCTTTGCTCACACCGACGATTTTTCGAGGTGATCGGCCTGGATCCACAATGTTGATTTTCCAGCCGAGGTTGTTATGGGTGTAACACTATAAATCAAAATTGTAAATGAATTTGAATTATTTCTTATCAGCAAAAAACATGGATTGTATCAAATAATTCCTTTATATTAGAAATTCACCCAAATTTAGTAGGGGCAGTTATGCTGCATACTCCAGATTTTAAACTAGGGCTACTGGATTTAATTTGTCGTATTAATTTTTTTTTTACTTTACCTGGTAGTATAATAAGTCAGGTGCATCTATCGGCACTGTCCAGGTTAAAACAGCTGGTTCACCGCCAACACACTCCAAAGACAAAGTTTCCTTAAATTCCTGGAAGGATTCGAATTCGGCAGATCTGTCTACTGTTTTATGTATCCACTCGCAATATCTTCCAGCTATAATATTGCATATTATTTGAATATAAATAAATATTCTAGATAATATTACTGAAGTATCTTAGAAATTAACCTGCTGTTGGATAAGGATAACCGTCCATATCAAAATCTACTCCTGCATAAACTTTTTGCTTCATTTGCTCCAAATCAGTTTTTTGTCCATAACCGCCTTCACTTGAATCGCATATGTAGAATGGATGGTATCTGAAAATTTAATTTATATCTATATAATTATCTCAGTGTATGCAAAAGGTCAGGTGCTCTTATATTTAAATTATATCCACTAATTCATACGGTATAATAAAATTATTTTTATCCATACCTAGCTGGATTTGTTCTATCATTTCCTCCTTCAACAATGAAAGTATATGTTTGACCACGTTCCAAATATAATTCTGGTATCAACATATCATTGATGTACCATGCAATACCCCAACTTGGATGACCTAAAGGAAATTTAATATTTAGTAATAGTTTCTACTCGACAGTTCCAACCACAAATAAAAAAGTCACAAAAAATGAGTCTATGTAGGTGAGAATTTTCTTAAACTAAATATATCTTGAAATTGCCTTTAAGAGTGTATTGTGATAATCAAATCTATTGCAACATTCTCTAAATTTTGGTATAAAATATCTATAATCACGCCATATTCCTGGACAGGCAGGTAGTCCGTCTTAAGTATCTTTTTTGAGATAAATTTTTCAATATTTGCACCTGTAATTGGTGTGTATCCCCGTTTTCCTCCGGTCGGTCCTATTCTGGCAGTGAATGTGTTATTCACTGTATCTCTAGAAGCCACTAAAGTCATAGGTTCCCAAGCTGTGTATACCGAAGCTTCCGATAATTCATATAAAGAAGCTGTACACTGATGATCATCCTGTTGAAAAAAAATAGTTTTTGATATTGCTGAACTTACAAAAATAATAAAAGAAGATGCTTGTAAAAAACTAGTCTGTTACTGAATTTTAGAAACATTTGAAATTTAATTAAATTCGATTAGTATGAAAAATACTCTCGTACTCATTTAAAAATAGTAATTTTATATGGTTACCGTAGCAGAAAAATCAATTTTCTGGTCATAAGTCGAATGATCGCGAATATTATGCTTATTGACTTCTCTTCTCGAATTCAAAGGCCCAATGGCTGCTATCACAGACTGTGCATTTTGTCCAGATCCTCCAACACGGAAAGGAAGATCATTTACAGGCTCGTTAGTCTGCAAAGGTCTCCTAAAAGTGACCGAAGTGACGCCGTTTCTTCGAGTACCTCGAACTTAAATAAAGAAATTATATCATAATATTATATATTGATATTATTGTAATAATTTATTTCTTTTATTATGTTAATGTGATGTTATTTACCAACTTTGGCGTCGTTTCTACCACCAATACGTTCGTCAGGACAAGCTCCTTTCTTGCCATCACATTGGGCCAAGTCTGATAAATAATAATCTGTGGCGTAGAAATTTTCCTCGTTTGAAACGTAGTGGATTACTGTTACATCGGCACCTATTTTTTTTTTATATTTAATATTTCTAATACTTAAGATCGTTTTCACATAATTGGTTAATGAATATTATGACAAATTATCAAAATCCAGTACCTTTCATTTGAGGAGCTCCTTGTTTGCCAGATAAACCGAAAGCAGCCCATTCCTTTTCTTCAATTCGGGCAGATAGTTCTATTTGTATATAATCACCCTTCAAAATAATGGTATTTCATATTATTTAATTATTTTATTGAATATTTCAATTAATTATAATGGATAAAATGATAAATATTAATAAAATATTAAATTGAGTTGCAATTATCTCATTCATCTGGTTGAATATGATAATTATCTAGTTCATAAAGGTATGCATATATTATGAAACAAACAAATTTTATTTTTAATAAATATTATTAGTGCATACTGTGATTAATTTATGAATTTTATTTTAAAGATAATTAATGATATAAATTAACAAACCTGTACTTCCCATCGCACTTGTAATCGTCTATCCAAAAATTCTCTGCAATTTGTATTTGTGATTGGTTTGATAGTTGTGCTTGTCTATAATAAAAGTTAATTTTTAGTTTAAATAATATTTTCGTTATCAATTTTTTAATTTTATATGAGTCTTAATTATATTTTCGATATTTTGATTTCATTAATACAACATTACTTACCGGATTATACACCAAGAAGGCTAGCAGTGAAACGTAAACATATGATAAGTTGCAAAGTTTTAACAAAATTTTGTTTAATGTATAAAACACATTTATATGAATAATTTTTTAAATACTTAGCATTTTTGATATTTATTTTCATCACTAAAAATTAAATTAGTTACTCAATTTCTATTCTATTTTACTCACCGTTATTTTAGTCTGTCCCAACGCTGGAGGTACATCTAAATCTTTCGGTATCATGACATGTCCAAAATTATGTCTATACTGAACACACCACATTGCTAACCAATCTATATCATAAACTGTTAAATTTCCAGGCAGCTGAATTTCTATATCTTCACCTTGGTAACCCCGTAATGGTTCCAGAGAACCCATTTCATTTGGAACCTATGCAAAAAAAATTTAAATCAATATTTGAAATTGTGGATTAATTTTAATTTTTCTACCTTAATCCCCATTTCTGATGGTTCTGGTCCAGTTCCAACCCAGAAATAGGCATCAGGGCCTGCACCATCGTAATGTAAATTAGGGATGTAGAACGTCTTGGCATCCAGAACACTTATATTACCAGATCGTAGCGCATGTGCGAGACGTTTGAATTCGGGCAGAACTCGTGGTTTGGCACATCTAGGTCTGGGGGGATAAAAACTTCTCCAAAGTCCACCTGGAGTACAAAGAAATTTAAGCTTATTATCTGCACACAAAGATTTCTTGTGATAATTTTGGTCATTTCGATGATAGGATTTGAGATGTTTAGAGAATTTTACGCAATTCTAAAGAAACTTTTTTTTAATCTTTAAAAGTAATGCGGTCTACAGATCAAGTTAATGTAAAGCGCTGACTAAATGCAAAAGTGGGAGCATGTTCAAATAAAACATACTACAGCTTTCTCCCTTGGACCCTATGCCATAATCATATAGTCTAGCTGTTATGGAGACTGTCACTACCGTGACTGAATTTATTTTTGTGTTTTTTTTTTAATAAATATATAATTTTTTTTATAATTTCAATATTTATTACAACTGCTAAATAATTAACATCTAGTAATATTGATAAATAATACATAAATTTAAATAAATAAGAAAGTAAAGGATAAAATTTACATAAAAATAATATCAGTAATATGATGATTTAATATAAAATAGAAGCAAATAACAATAAAATAAAATTAATAAATAATATAAATAAATTTCTGAATAATAAAATAGTACTAGAAAAATAATAAATATAACAAAATAACAATAATGGAAATAGTAAGATAATAATAATAATAATAAAATAATAATAATAATAATAATGTTAGCGTTTACAAGTTTATGAGATCATTGGGAATTTTTCGTTTTAGTCTGGTTGAGCGCGCTTCTGAGAAAACTTTTGTGCCAAGTAATTGGGTAAATATATAAATATAATCTGTAGTTATAAACAACATTCAGTAATTTTAATGGTTTATGAAAAAAGGTCGAATGGTCACCCAGTGGTGATCCGATTCGAGATGTTTAGCTTACAGATGTAGTCCTGATGTAATTTTACATATTATAGGATTACTAAAGAATATCAAAAATGGTCCGTTTTCTTCTGAGCCATTCAATGCCATGTTTTTTTATTAAGATTTTGGCCATAATGTTTGGGTGATTCTGTATTATATCCTTGTATTTCAGACTGAACTTTTCATTTCTTCATTAACTGTTTATGTTCAAATCTGTTTGAACCAACCAATTTGGGACATACATGGGTGCGTTTATAATTTCTTTCAAAATCTCATTTTGAAATTTTTAAATTATGGCGATGTTGTATTTGCGCGCGGTTCCCAAAGCTGTATTCCGTACGTCCAAATTGGTTTTACTATATTAAAATATAAAAATTCTTGTTTGTTTGTTTTCAATCATATTCACATTGTTATCCTAAATATTTGTTCTAGTTAAGTAATTAACTAATTTTCTCAATTCGATTACATAAATCATCTGCTATTTTATTACTAATATATAAAATAATAGTAAATTTTTTATCGATTATTTTTAACTTTTCCCAAATGCATTTATTAATATGGTGCACATTAATTCCAAATGGGGCGAAAATTTTCGCTTCGCCGTTGGCTTCATCCATTGTTCGCAAACTTCTGCTTCTCTCGCGAAAGAAGCTCTCGAGTCATATACTTGTACAATGAAAGAGCCCTCGAATTTTCTGAAGCGCTCATGAATATGACAGACACTTGAAAATGCCAGTCACCAAAGACGACATAAACTGACGGATGTCAGTGTCAAATAATTATTTTTCATTGTTTTAAAATTTCTGAGATTTATCTGAGGTAAATCAGAGTAGATTCGGAATGAAGATGCCTCATACCTTGATATACAGTTCATAAAAAAATCATTAAATTTGGATTCAAGGTACTTTTTTCATAAGACTATCATTTATAAGGTAAAAAAAATTTTACAAGAGATAAATTAAATACTCCAAATGCTAATAAATATACATTCAATACACATTCTGACGAAATACCAGATCAAGGTTATGTACAGTGTT